TCTAATAGTGGTCATTCAGTAAGATATTTTTTTAAAGATAATTATTGTAATTTTCCCTTTGAACTGTACACCTTTCTATGAGTCTAAATCTCCTGAATTGGGCATGTGATTTTTGGTTGACTTGGAGAGTTGAGGTCCTAAAAACATAGAAGACCTTTACAAATACTAAAAATTGGATTTAAAGTTTTAATACATAGAAGTTGGAATTAAGTTTAAGTCATTTTCTTATGTTCTAAACACTGACAGGTTGCTCTCAAGGAAATGGTATATTACATTATGCTCATGGAGATAGCCAACAAGCTCACCTGTTACAGCAAGGTAAGGATGAAGCATTCGCGCAAACTCTTCTCTTCTGCTTTTTCTATACTAAATGTACATTTCTCACTGTGTAGGAAGAAGTTCCGTGGGTACTGGGCTCAGCAGTGGGAAACGGCCTAGTCAGGAAGAGGAAACACAGAGCGTTGGTCCTAAAGTCCAGAGACAGAGCACCAATTAGGTAAATATTCTAGAGAGTTATTTCTTGCTTTATGTATAGCTCATATAAATTAAGATGATTTCCAAAATGGAATTAATCTCTATTTTCAAAACAGATCTGAGGCATCACTTTTCAGTTGATTATTACAAAATCAGTCAGTTATCAGACAACAGAAATGGGTCTCTACTGGCAAAGTTTCCATTCAGTTTCATAGTCGTCTTGAATCCGCAGTCATTAAATTTGAAAAGCTTATAATTTTGTTGTCAAGTTTTTTTCTTAGAAGAGTATCTTTGCATTTCCTTACTGTGTGACCATGGATCTAAAATAGGTAAACTCGCTGCCATCACATTGATTCCAACTCAGAGCGAACCCCATTGGGTTCCCAAGGTTGTAAATCTTTACAGTATCCGACTGCCTCATCTTTTCTTCTGCAGAGTGGCTGGTGGATTAGAACCATCAACCTTTTGGTTAGCAGTCAAATGCCTTAACCCCTGCATCACCAGAGCTCCTTAAAAAGAATTAAAGTAGCCATTTTGGTGATATAGTGCCTAAGGCATATGCCTGCTAACCAGAAGGCTGGCAGTTCAAACCCACTAGCCACTCCTTGGAAGGAAGGTTGGGCAATCTACTGCCATAGCAGTACCGCCTCAGAAACGCAAGGAGGGGTCGCTATGAGTCAGATCTGACTCTACGGCAATAAATTTGGTTTGGTTTTTTGGTTTTATTTTAGTGGCATTAATATAATCTGTGAACTTTTCCCCAAATCTTTGCCTCTTAAATGTTTCTAAGTTTCCTTTATCTATTGTGAAGCTTTTGAAATCTAAATTCTTTCCAATTCTGGAATAGTTTAACTTTTTAAAATGCTGGCCTTGTTTGGAAGTACCAAAAAGCTACACCTATACCTGAATTTAATTGGATTTGGGATAACATTTTAATATGAGAAAGTATTTATACCATGCACTTGCCAGTTTTTAAAGACATCTTATTTCTCCAGTTATCTTAAACTGTTATATTTTTTATCACCTAGATCTTTATGCCAACTTACATTAGATTGCATTTTTCTTGAGGATAAGATCAATAAACACACATGATGTTTTCATTCTCTGATCCCCTGCAATCAGGTTCTACTTAGTTTTTTTTCTTTTTCCTTAAATCACAGAAACGTTCAGGAGGAATGAAATACTGTTGGCAGCTGACATTGGCGGGGCGTTCAGTGCTTTTTCAGTTGAATTATTTAAAATGCTCACTGATAGAAGAAGACAGTTACATTTCAAACTGCATCATTTCTAATGACATTTCTGTGGTTTTTAACTTTTTAATGAATTTCACTTAGGACAAATGGTAATTTGTATATAAAGAACTTGGTAAAAGAATTTGCTTAATGTAAATATAAACAGTCACAATTAGTATAGACCGTCTCATCAATATATTTTTGATAATTTTTCATGTATGGGAAAAGTTAAAGTAGCAAACTGATATTCTCATAGAAAATCAAACTTCTATGAGTCCATGTGGGAAAATAGGCAGTTTTTAGACTTTCTTAAAGACTTTGTTAAAATTTTAGGACAGAATTTTCTTGGCATTGTTTGATCTGACTTTGCATTCTTTGATAATAATGTTTTAGAAAACACGTATAATCAAAATTGGTAATTGCAGCTTCTGTTAACATGTGTTTGAAAGCTTCACGTACGCCTGTTTGGACCCAGACTTGTGAAAGTGATCATGTGTTAGGTTCTCCTTGTCTCCCTTTCTTTGTTATTTACAGCTGCAGTGACCTTGTTATTAAAGTATATACAAATATGGAATCTTTGTGTATTTGGTGTTTTTTTTTTTTTATCTCCCCTTGGTTTGTTTTTTGGGAAGTGGAAGAGTGCTAATTGATATGTGAGTTTTAATTATAAATTACAGAAACAGATTTTATAAACTGTAAGTCACTGTTCTGAATGAAGGAAACTACCGTATTTTTAGAAAAACTCTATGTATTTCACAATTATTCTGAATAAGAATATTGTCTTCCAATTGTTTTTTACTTTGTTAATGTAAAGTTTTGTGCATGAGTCTTTTAGATCCAGGGATATATTCCAGTGACAGGCTTGTAACTATGAGCCAGGCCATACAATGTAACAGTCAGGAGTCACATGCCCTGCTTTGCCACTCAGTAGCTTTACGATATTGGGCATATTCTTAACATCCCATGGCTTTCTTTTTCTTGTGTATAAGATGCTAATGAGATTCGGACCCATTTTGTATGAAGTGCCTGTAACAGTGCCTGGCTTCTGGTGGGGTACTCAGTAAACGTTAGCTGTGGGACCACCAAGTTGCACACCTGCCTAGTTGTGCAGCACACAGTCTACAGAGCTGTACGCCACAGTTCTCGTGAGCTGCCACCATCATTTGGACTGGAGCTATCTCCAGTAGGCTGGCACTTGTCATTCTGGATTATACCCAGTGGCTTTTCCTTTCTCCATCTCCACTCATAATAGATGTTCACTGTGATCACTGTATTTAACTGTTTGGGTGAATTTGAGTCAAAAATTCAGAAACATTTTAGATGATCCACATTTTCAAAAAATACACTGGATAATGAATTAACAATGAGCAATAAATTCCATTACTGAGAAAAGAAAAAAAAAATACTATGTCTTACCTTTTTTTTTTGCCCTGTAAATGAGTAATATTTGAATTGTTTTTGATGATCCCTATAATTCATATCCTAGTCTTTGGAATGGATTATGCTCTGCAGACTTGAGAAATTCATAGGCCCATCCAGAGGGGAAAAGGTTCTGTTTTAACATGAATAAATAAGCATTTTAATAAAAATTATCTCCAGATAGGTGCTGGTATGTTACTTAAAAATGTATAAGAGCTTTCTGTTTTGTGTTTGTTTTTTAAGGCTTTTAAGTTTGGTCTAAAATGTTTTGAAGCAGCAGCACTAAAAGGAAGAGAAGAATCAATCAATTGGGCAGATTCAATATATTTGAATATGAGCAGATTCAATATGTTTCAATACAGTATTCTCCCCCTAACTAGAAGGGCTCAAACCAAAACAAAACTCTGTCCTAAAAACCCTTCAGGCTAGGAGAATTGATGGTTGAAGCATTTCAGACATTTTACTCATTCAGCAGACACTTCTTACACTCTTTTCATGTTCATTAAAATAAATAGTAAATTTGTGATCAAAAGACATTGTTATTTGGTATCATCTTTAAGGCTTCTCACATACTAGAAACTTTAGGATCTTCGTACAGTTTCAAACATATGTTTGTAATTTTTAAAATTTTCTTGTAGATAATGTGTGTTATGTTAGGCTAGGTTCTCTAGAGAAGCAAAACCAGTAAAGCTTAGAGAAATTTGTCTAAGGAAAATGGCTCACACACTTACAGAAGCTGGCAAGTCCCAAGTTCTTGGATCAGACGTCAAGCTGGAGGCATTTCCCGACTCACGCAGCTGCAGGGGCTGACAAGCTCAAGGTTGGCAGACAGTGTACCAGCTGTTGGCGCCAACAAATGACAAATCCAGTATCTCCAGGCGGAATGGTGGATTGTTCACTCACAGTTGTAGGCAGTACAACAGGATCCCGATCCACAGAAGAGTGTCTCTTTTCCCAGGATGTCCACAAATATATTGGAAGCAGGCCACAACCCTAGGGAAACTCCCTTTCAACAGATTGGTTGCTCAAAACATATACATCCGATGTCATCACGGGAATAACCACATCACAACTGCTTTAACTCAGAATTGTGGTCCAGCCAAGTTGACACACAGCTCCAACTATCACATTCCACCCCCTGTCAACTTGGCAGTTGTACACATCTCTTTAACCATATATAATCTCTAAATAAGGACAATTATAAAGCCATATTTGCACCTAACATGATACACTAACATACGTACAACCAAAATGCATTAACCCT